ATGCTCAGTTCATATTTAAAAACTAAACAAACACATGTCACATGAAGATGCAGTGCTTGGGGCCCAGGACACTAGAAGGGTAACTATATATTTTATATTCCACTGCCAATTCTGACTGTGGTATTTGTGCCTCAGAAGGTTCTGACTTGAAAGAATTTCCTCCAGAGGAATGGGTGGTGTAGTCTAGACGCTCTCTTTAACACAAATATTTATTTTGCTAACTGAAAATAAAGGATTTTGGTGCCAATAATTGAAGAAAAGGAACATCCAGGCCATAACTATATAGCAAAAAATGAATTGGGAAATAGGATAATTTAACACTGATTTTGATCTGTATTTTTTAATTTGGTCATCAGAAGTGTGTTACCTGTAGGAATAAAATTATGTTGCTTGTGAAGCCTCCTTTAAATTATTATGTCTCAAATTAATAGCTGGGATGACTAACCCTCAAATTTACCAAGGTCATGTGATCTTAGCATAAATTTGGCTAGAGAAAGGCAAGCTAGAAGACAGGATCAGGGCTTGGGGGTTGCTTACCAAAGCGTGGTATCTGAAGATAATTTGTACATGTGCATTTAATGAGACTAAACAAGTATAGTCTTACCACTGGGACTTTTTTTTTCTTGCTTACTGAAATCTCTTTAATCCTAATTCACCTTCAAGTCAGCATGTGTCATCACCTGTCTCTAAACGTCTCATTCTGATAATGGATTTTTTACCCCCTATGTCTGTTTAATCACACACATGACCTCTCTTCTCCTACGAAGGCAGGCTTCCTCTGTATCTTTGTCCACATCTGTCCTTAGCTAAGAGCATGGGGCTCAACAAGACTTGATTCTACTTTAGACAGAAGGGCTGACCTCGAGGTCAGTTGCAACCAGAATTGGGACTATTCTGTAGTCAGATCACAAGTACAGGGCAAGCTGCCACAAGAGTGCCTGTGCAATGAGAATAAGGTAGTGGCCACATGTATCTTGCTTACAATCCATAAACAGGACTGGCCATATTGTTTTTTTGTCTTTTATTATGGCATAAAAGACAAAAACCAAAGTAGTTCCTACACGAACAACGTCTCTCCCCTTATTTTATACATTGGGACCTAATGGGTGATGCTGTTAAGATTTAAAGGAATATTCATTTTCATCTTTAAATATTGAACCTTGTCCTTTCCATCTAGTTCCCTTCACAAATGACAAAGTCTCTCATCTTCAGGATTCTCTGTGTCTTCATTTCCTTTGGGGGTACTTGTTATTCACCCATTCTGAATCAACTTTGAAAAGTTATTTAAATGGAAAACCAAATCTGTGTTTTTGTTCTGCATTGGGGTGTAAGGAGGGCCAGCGAATTGTATGACACATGAAGCAGACTTATCTTTGTACTCAGAATCACCTGAAAGGCAAGATACCACTTTGTTACGGAATAATCACTTACTAAATTGAAAGTAGCTGAAGATTTATGTCTTAAAGGTCTTCCTGAAGTACCCCAATACGATCCCTTGTGTTATGCTTTCAGAAACAATTCCTTCATATAGAATAATGCAGTTCTACTGAAAATTTCTTCATATATTTTGTGTGATGTGTTCCTCAGTGTATAATCTTGTATTGTGTGTGAAGTAGCTGTGACTTAGCAATCAGTATAAAAAAGGCATAAAATCTATACTTGTCTACTGTCTTTAGCAAATGACCTTATTACAGCATATTTTAGTGGGATGTCTGTGTGTAAGTGGCGATTGCCAGTAAAATAAATTGTGTCATTAAATTTGATTCAAGTTGAATGTGGTAATACCTATATATAGATATATTCAAATAAGCATATTGCTTCAAATAATCAGTCTTGAATCTTTTAGGGCTTTTAATATTAGAGGTGTCTTCTGAAGACTGCAGCAGCGGTAAACTCCTTCTGCTCTTGAAAATGCAGTATTATTTGTATGATAGAGATGTCCCAGCAGTAAGAGTGGAACACTGTAAGAATAATAATAGTTTGGTCTCAGGATCTGGTATAGGCCACTCCAGTCTCTTGGATGTAGTGGCACCAAACTAACAGAGATTTTAAAATGGATTTTGTAGAAATCAGTGAAACATGTTGAGAAGCCATAAATAACTAGGGACTGGTCAAGCATCACATACTAGAGTGAATAGAATCTACTTCACCAAAAGGGTTTTCATTTTTGCACAACTTGCAATATTTACAAAAATATGTTTGTATCATTGTTGGGTTAAAACAAAGTTAATCTTCCTGATGGTACATTTCATAAGCAGCAAACCAGTGCAATTCCTTAATCTTTTGGGGCAATACCCCAAATAGGAAATTGTCAATATCGTATAACAACTTACTCCTAATTGCACCTAAGAGTAAACGAGCACCACAGTTTAATGTACTACTGAAGTTTAAAGATGTGCTCAATAAATTAGCATTATTCATAAAGTTGTGCTCTCTGCTGTATTTCTCCACCAATTACGAATAAAGCAAAATTATAAAAAATAAACCAAATGATAGGAATTAGTTATTAGTACTTTAAAATTCTTTTAATTTTTATTAACATTAAATTCAACACCAGTCATCTGTTGTATATAACAAGAATTTTGAAATACTTGCACACCAATTGAGAGGCTTTGTAAAAATGCCTTTTTGCCAAAATCAAGTTCTTTGACTTCTTGCTAATTCTTATATGTCTGTAGGGGTACTTTGAGGGGTTTGAAAGATATATCAGGAGCAGTTCTAATCTTAGTGCAGAACATTTTGCTAATCATTTTACTATATTACAAAATGTTATACTATGATATTTTATAATAAAACAAAATTATCAAGTATTCTGGCCTATTACATATTATTATGCCCAAAAATCACTTTCTATAAGTCTATTACTGAGTACACATATTTTTTTTTTAAAAATCACAGTGGGTATTTTGGTCCTAGTGAGGAAGTATAATGCAATATCTGACATTGATTTTTAATGAAAATGCACTTAAATGTAGGGCAGAGAAACTAAGTTGTAAATGTATATTTTCATCTGACTGATAAAATGACAAGTGATAATTCAGAAAGGTCAACTTATAAATGCTCATCAGATTTTAGCTTTTGTTATCTATTGTTCCTGGAGCGGGATGACAATTGTCAGTTGAATTTGCTTCAGCTTCACTGGGGCGTGGGGGGGGGCGTGGGGGGTTTGCTTACAGTCCACTGCCTGGTGTAATGAAATCTCTTCCGAAGCAAGACTGACTTAGAAACTTAGTGATGCACCTTACTATTTTTTAGCTGCTGTTATAATATCAAAAACACTGATCTTTCCAATGTGTTTTCTGTATCAGTTTTGTACTGTAGAAAATTATCTGCCATAAACTGCACTTTATTGTTTAAAGTGATGTTGCTGGCTTATTGCACCGCTGTTCCACAACACAGTCCACTTAATAATGTAAAACCTGTGATAATCCTTTGCCTTAAGATCTGATGCTAAACCATTATTGTGTTCTAGTTAATTATTTGTAGCTACTCATTAGTTACCCTTTAAAGCTAATGATGGTATCAAATAAAATATTAAACAAATACACCATGGAGGACTGCTGGTGATTCTGTTTGTGACTGTGTGTATCTGGATCCAGGACGTGGTGGCGTGCTGGGTTCTATAAATAGGCATTCGTAATCCTTTTGGAGAAAGGGCCTGGTACTTCTCAGGCCTTGGCTGAATTCTCCCTTCAACCATTATAAATAGATTTTCTGAGGTCACTTCAACAACCAAGTCAAACGACTCAACTTGTCCACACCTTCTCTCTTCGTTCTTGTGGAGATCTTATGAATCTTTACATCTTGTTTGTATTTACATCATTTTCCAAAATAGTAAAATGCCCAAGATGCCTGAAAATTAAAATCACCCAATTTCTTCATGGAAAACGATCTTAGAAGGTGTGAAGGAGTGTGTGTGTGTCTGTGTGTCTGTGTCTGGGGGAGTCCATCTTGATGTATAGAAGGTTGTGAAAAGCTCAGCGGGTACACTGGATGTGTACAGGATAAAACCAGACAAAATCTCAGCACTGATAAAAGGAAGTAGACACAAATTCCAACCTCCAACCAAGAAGATATTTGCAATTGATATGTTTTGTTTTTGCAATTGAGTGTCAATGAGTACCTCCCAGCCATGCTCCAGGGCAGGTCTCATGGTCAGGAGTAGTGGGCCAACACAAAATGGACTCCATGTTTGTTGGTTGTTTTTTTTTTTTTTTTAAATTATTTTTGTACTTTTTGTTTCATTTTGTTGATTTTGACATTTTTTGTCTTACTGTTTTTTATTTTAGGTATTTTTGTGACAGAGATAGCATAAAGTTGGGTTGTTGGAAGGATGGGAGAGTGGGATAGGGGAAAGAATATGTTGAAATATATTGTATTCATATTTTTAAAATAAACAGTTGAGCGGAAAAGAATTGTGTTAGCCTCAGGGGTTGGCATACCAACAGAGGTAGGTGTGTGTGGGTCTGGAAACTGCTTCCTTATTGGGCTCTGGTCTTTGACCTGCCTTGAGTTAGTCACAGCTATCCAGCAATATATTCTGAAGGCAGTTTTATCTAGAAAGCAAAACTTGGGCTCACAACTCTTTCGATGCTTCTGACTCTGTACGAGAAAGATAAAGGACATGCTCAAAATTTCCGTTGAAAAGTTAAAGGTATTTCTCAGTATGCTGAGAGCATGCCCACACACTTGTGTTCTGAAAACCTTCTCAGAGGGCTCAGGCCCTTTTGGAATAGCAGGAAAACCTGAACTTTTGACCAGGCTTTTTTTTTTTTTTTTTTCTGCCGAGAAACCAGACGGATCGTGGATCAGGATGGAGTTCAGACTCCCTCACCCCCAATTCTGGTTTCTGCTGCTTGCGGAAAGCAAGCACTCAAGACAGCCCAGACCTACGGACTCTAGGACCCAGAGGCTGCTCGCGGGCCAGCTTGGTGGGCGGCCTCCAGGCGTGCTCGGGCAGCTGCGGTCAGAAGGCGCGGGTTCGCGACCCGCCCGGAACAGTGTCCCCAGCGCCACCGCGAGCTTGTGGCGCGCTGGCGGCTGCGCACGGTGCGCGTGGGCGTGCCCGAGCGGAGCCACGCTGCCCGCCCCACCCCCTTGTGGCGGTTGCCCCCAGGCTGGACTCCGGCTCGCGCGGGGCGTGTGGCCGGGCCCGCGTGCCCTCGGCCGGCTACACCGCGCGCCGGCGGCTCGGGGCCGGGCATGCTGGGAACTGCTCTGTGAACCGTCACCGCCGCCGCCGCCGCCGCCGCCGTCACCACCCGCGGGGCGAGTCTCTGAGGCGCGGAGATGAAATTCCCGGCCTCGGTGTTAGCGTCCCTGTTCCTGTTCGTGGCCGAGACGATAGCGGCGCTCTACCTGAGCAGCACCTACCGCTCCGATGGGGACCGCATGTGGCAGGCGCTGACGCTGCTCTTCTCCTTGATGCCCTGTGCTCTGGTGCAGTTCACGCTCCTCTTCGTCCACCGCGACCTCAGCCGCGATCGGCCACTGGTGCTGCTCATGCACCTGCTCCAGCTCGGGCCCCTGTTCAGGTGCGTGTGGAACCCAGAACCCGCCCTTAGGCCACAGCCCCTGGCCGGTCCCCCCTCTCCTACCCCGGCTGGGGAAGAGGCCTTCCTGAAGGGGACAGGTGGCCAGAACCAGGGTTGACCTGCCCTGCTTGGCCAAACCTTCCCATTCCAGTCTCCGGAGATGTCCTGGATTTCAGAACCCATAGATGGAATTGCCAATGTTAACTTGAATTTGCTCAAAAAGAGCAGCAGTCTTTGCCTTTTTTTTTGGTCTCCTAAAAATACGTGGCTTTCTCTGTGGTCAAGCGGACTTCTGCAGGATTGGCATGCGTGGTCTTTAGAAGTTACTCTAAGCGCTGTTAAAGTCAGAGCCTTTATGGGTCATTTAATTTAGTTTATCAAGCACATGGCACTTAACTGTGTACCAGGCACTCCTTTAAGTGCTTTGTTAAAATTTATTTAATTCATATACAGAAGTCTATAAATTCATGCACCCTACTTTTCTCTTAGCGTGATGATTATTGTCTAGCATGAAAACATACGGTACCAGAGTTGTCTTCTGAGTCTGCCCAATTTCTAATATAGTCATGAAATCTGGGGCACAATGTGCCTTGAAGACAGGAAGTTACTATGTGTTAAGAAAAACTGTTAATGCCATTTCTGGGAGGAGAAGTTGTTGTTGTTGCTCTTTGTGGTGCTGTGGATTCAATCCAAGGCCTGGTACAGGCTAGGCAAATGCTCTACCACTGGGCTAAATCCTTAGCCCTGAGAATTAATCTCTATGAACACAAAACAAGAAGTACACAGTCATGAAATAGACCTGATTTTAATCTCAGAACTTGAAGGGAATTTAAATGTATTATTTTCCTATCTTTTATCTTACTCGGGGAAATGCGAAAGTAAAAGTTTATGTTCAGATTAAAAAAGCATTCACAATATTACAACTTTGCATGCTACTTTAAACACAACCGTTTTAGCTTACTGTACTGTGCAGTTTAACCGTTATGGCAAACTCGGTAAACAGGTTCCCCCTTCTTCAAGAACTAGGGATCCCGAGAAAGGACAAGACATCTATGCTGGTAGTAGTGTTGCTGACAGTTAGGGAGGCATCAGAAAATTGGGTTGGGGGTACTTAGAAAGCATGGCAATCAATTAGCTAGTAGGGGACCCATGTTCCTAAGCAAGCCCTGTGGCCCTGCCAGTGCCCCTGCTCAAGAAGAAAAGTGAGGTCTGACGTTTAGACAAGGCACCCATCGTTTAATGTCATCTGTGGGGCGGAAACTCATGTTTGGGTGGAGTGGCTTGGGGAACTGAGAATTCACAAAGGTTGCTGCTGCTGAGAGGTTTGGTTCACACTTCCATGCCTTAGCTGATTGGCTCTTGGATTTGTTCACTGTGTATCTACTATTTTGGTGCTGGAAGTTGAATCAAGGACCTTAGGCATACTAAACCCATGCTCCGCCAATGCTATAGGCGCTCTCAATCCCTGTCCCCATTTTATACAAGGAGCAAATGAGGCTCTGGAGCGTGTTCCCAAGGCTTCCTTCCAAAAGGCAATTAGGTTCATTATGTTCTCTGTGTTCTGTAAAAGAAAGTAGAGTGTTCAGTACACTTTATCAGCAGTTCCATCTTCAAAGCTTTAAATGGTTCATTATTCGTGAGCAAAATTAAAAAAAAAATAACCAAAAGTAACCAGGCAAGTAAGAATCCTCTATCATTGCTGTCATTTAGAAGTGTCTCTTAACGTTAAGAGTACCTCAAGACAAAGCTAATAGAATATTGCATATAAAAACAGCAACTATAATCTAGAGTTCAAGGGAGTATATTAAGATGTTAAGAACAATAGAACTGAATGGCAGAGTGTGAGTTTAGGGTTTTTTCCTTTTAAATATGAACATAAGACAAATTTCTTCTTTATTATAAATTCTTTGGTATTCTTCAGTCATCAATGTACTTAAAAAACTTTATTAAGGAAAAGAGTCTCATATTCAGATATTAGTTGATTTATGTCAAGAAGCAATGGACCCATGATCTTTGAAATGAGATACACAAAATAAGGTTTCAAGACCCTTAGCTTGCAAATGAAAAGGAAATTTGTTGATTTTTGGTTAACGGGACTTAAAAATTATTACTGAGATTTCTTCCTAATGACAGGTTCTAATTTGAACCCTGAAATCATCAGCTTTTCAGAAAGATCCAGTTATTCGCACAAACAAGGGAATCACAACACTTCTTCCCTTTTACCCCTTAGCAATGGTTTTTAGTAATATTTTCAAGTTGTTTGGGGGCAGTTTACTTCTACTCAAGTTAGGGTAGCCAAACTACCATTTTTAGGGAGATGCTGTTATTGAGTTCATACAATATGACCCAATTAAAGTGCATATATATTTTATTCTATATAATGCTTGCCTTAATACTTCAGATCCTTAGTCTGTAATACCTTCCACTAATGATTATGGACTATAACTGTTAGCTCACTTCTACCCCTTTATTACTTCAGGGAGTCATTGGCAGAACTATTTAGTTCATTTATTTATTATAATTTTAGTCATATATTTAAATGTTTAGCTATAGTTTTTATAGTTCTTTCTAATATGAACTTTGGATAGTGTCTTGAATTATCTTTTTTTACAATTTGAAGGAAAATCTTTAAGTTATATTAAATATTCTGGAAAAACCAAATATTTCTTTGGAAAAAGTATTTTCATTAGGGTCCTTGGTACCTCAAGTCATTTGTGCTGGCTGCCACCAACATGCCTAGTTTTACCTAGGGGACAAACTGCTGTTATGATTGACAAATGAATTATATTATGCTAGAAAATGGAACTGAGTGAAAAAAATGATCAAAGTACTAAATATGTACAGCAAAGATCATCATGAGGTCTGCAGGCTGTGCTCCACTGGCCAAATCATGCCACCACCTGTTTTTGTAAATAAAGTTTTTTTTTCTATTTTCTTTCTTTTTTTAAGATTTATTTATTATGTATAAAACATTTGGCCTCCATATATGGCTGGAGGCCAGAAGAGGGCACCAGACCTCATTACAGATGATTATGAACCACCAGGTGGTTGCTGGGAATTGAACTCAGGACCTCTGGAAGAACAGTCAGTGTTCTTAAGCTCTGAGCCATCTCTCCAGTCCCCGTAAATAAAGTTTTATTGGAATATAACTATCTGTAGTCATTTCTTTATATATTATTTGTCTGCAGAGGCAGAGTTGCGCAGAGACCCTGATAGCCTATAGAACCTAAAATACTTACATTACACAAAAGCTTCCTGACCAATGGAGTATGTGATATTGAAAAACTACCTTGAATAATGCTGGTCCTCTACCACTGACCTACATCGTTAGCCCTTACCTTGGGTGTTTTTATTCAAGTAGTTCATGCAGAGAAACAACAATTAAAACCAACCCATTATTTTGCTATTAGAAATGATGCTGATTTAAATTCTTTTGTAAGGTTTCTTTGTGAGCTGGTATATCAGAAACTATCATGTGAACTAAAAGTACAACATAAATATTGTTGTGTGACATATTATATTTATTCTGTATATGCTCCATTATCCCGTCTAGAAAGTGAGCACCTCTGAATGAATGGAGTGGGAGTCTTCAAGCTATCTAGTAACGTACATCTGCTATCATCACCTCTTTGAGAATAAATATCACGACCACTTTAACCTCTCTTCTATACCTTGCCACTTTTGGTTGTCTAACAATATTAACAGGGGTGCTCATTGTCAGTCAAAGGTTTAAATTCTGGAGGAGGTAGCCCTGAATTCATGAACTAAAGTATTGTCTTTTTTCTTCTGAACAAACTAGACTATACTGCCATGTCTTGATAAAATATATTAAAGAATCTTTGATTGAAAACATATTACAAGATAGATAGTAGACAGATTTCGTAAACTACATCTGCTGTCATCACCACTTTGAGAATAAATACCATGACCATTTTATTCGATCTTCTATGCATTGCCACTTTCGGTGCTCCAACAATCATCTTTGGTTGAATATATATTACAAGACAGTAGACAGACTTCCCCAATACACAAACCACACACTTTCTTCCTCCTAGAAAGAAGTGAACAAAGGTAATAATCATGAAATCTGTCCACTTCGTGTTTACCGGAAAGGTTGTTGTATTTCTTTTCATGCATCAAAAAGAAGGTTTTAATTTACTATTTCAAATTATAAATGTACTTAGGTTGTCATAGATACCTCCAGGTGATATTATAAAGTTAACAACATTATAAACCCAGTGAAGCCATAAAATCTAGCAGCATTGTAAGATTGTTATTAAAGTGCCTGTTTTAGGGCATAAAAGTCAATGTTTAAAACTAAGGGAAAACTTGTTTTTCCTAGCATTTCATTATGTAAGCTTTCAAACATGCAGAAGAAAATCTTATTGACTTGTACACCCAAGTACCTGCATCCTAGATTCTATAATTAACATTTTGTTTCATGTATCTTTCCATTGATCCACCCATCAAATCTATCCCCCCCCCTGTGTGTGTCTGTATTTGTTTTAAACAAATCATAGCCACTAGTACTTTTTCTTTCCATTAGTGTCTATCTATAATATTATCTAGAGACAAAAATTTTAGACACTGGTTCCTTAAGGATGTGTCCCTAGAGCAGGCTTCGGAGTCCTTAAATAAGGCATTTGCCAACCCCAGGCATGTTTGAATTTGCCATGGCCAATATGGGATTATTAGGATAAAAAAAATAGATAATATGTTGTTGTCTTTCAAGGAATTCTAAATGCTTAGCATTTAGCAACTATGTGCTGTAAAAGTACCTAATTTCATTCATCTTCATGTTCCCCCCCTCCTTTCCTCCCTCCCTTCCTCCCTCTCTCCATCCCCGCTTCCTCCACCATCTCTCAGCCTTATTGTAGCCCAGGCTCATCTATAACTCACTGTATAGCCCATACTGGCCTTGAATGCTTGACAATTATTCTTCCCCAGCCTCTAGACTCTAGAGAGTGCTGAGATGATTAAGTGAGCCTGCACATCCTTTTTTAACTAGGCTGGTTTGTGGTATCAGTTTTATGTGGAACGTTTACACACAGCCCTATACCCTTTAGTCCTCTTTCGTTGCAGGATGACAAAGTATGTGTTTTCTCTATTTTATTATTGAGAGGGAAAGTTCAGAATCTAAGGGCTCTATCTACAGCTGCACAGGTAATGTATGTCAGGAAGAAAAGCTAACCATTTTTTTCTGTGGCTCTAGAGTGTTAACTGCTTCCCATTGTCTTGTTTTCTTTGCCTTGGTAGCTTTCAGTGTCACCTTTTCTTGATTCTCGCTCAATTCCCAGTGGTCTACTGGAGTCCTTGTAGAAGACTGAACCCCTAAGAACTGATCCTTAGAGCAAGTGATTTGGAGAGATTTAGAATAGCCGGGCAAGGGTTTGAGAATCAGGCTAAGTGAAAACAAGATGACTGGGAAAGGACAGAATTCTGCCACTCATTAATTGCAATGACTCATTAATTTGTTCCTAGGTGTTTTGAAGTCTTTTGCCTCTACTGTCAGTCCAGCCCGAATGAAGAGCCTTATGTGAGCATCACTAAGAAACGACAGATACCGAAAGATGGCCTCTCAGAGGAGGTGGAGAAGGAGGTGGGCCAGGCAGAAGGCAAGATGTTTACCCACCGTTCCGCCTTCAGTCGGGCATCCGTGATCCAGGCTTTCCTAGGCTCTGCCCCACAACTGACCCTACAGCTGTATATTACCGTCTTGCAGCAGAACATCACTACTGGAAGAAGTATGTATGCATGTTTTTTTTTTATTTTCTGTTTTTATTTGAGGTTCAAAATGAGAAACAAAACAATTTTTATTTGGGTGAAATCCATTTAGATGTTCATTTGTTCTGAACCTGTGTTCTCTTTGCTAACCTAAACTCCCAGTAAGTTAAAATGGTAACACTTTTTGGAGGAGGGGGCTTATGAATCTGTATTTTGGTCAGGGCTCAAAAGGATAAGTTTATCTGTGCTCTAGTGTGGACCAGATGAGGTGGCTCAAATATGTGGGAGTTGGAATTTATTGAAGACTCATATACTGATTTGGTCTTAGAGACTCACCTCTTGTCCATGTGGGCAGAGTTTAGGCTTCCTTTACAGCATGGTACTGCTTCCAGGTGTGAAACTGAGTCATTTTTGTGGTCTTGAGCCAGCTACATGATAGCTAAAGGGTTATTTTCTTTTTAACTGCAGTCTAATTTGTAAATCAAATTCAGTAGTTTTAGTATATTTATAGTGTTGTGCCAACATAACTGTTACCTATCATTTTAGACTCTAAAATTTAGAACATAGAAGTAACCTACACATATCAGTCACTATTTTTTCCTTGTTCTCTTGTCCTTAGCAACTGCGAATCTTCTTGCTATTTCTGTGGATATGTCTATTGTGCCTATTTTATGTAAATAACATCATGCACTATTACAAAATTTTTGTATAGTTAACAAATAACACACCCTGTCTCTGTGAAATTTCATTTTGGATAAGGTGGGCAGTCTTTGACTCCCTCAGTTTAGTCAGCAGAAGCTTGATCAAGTCACTGGGATCTTAGAGGATATGTTGCTCTTAAACCCAGGTTAGAATTCTAAGATTGTTCTGCTCTGGGAAGGTTCAGACAGCTTACCATTCGTCTTGCTTGAGGGTACCCATCTGTATTTTACTATAGGAGGTAAAGTTGACTGTAATAAAGATTGTTCCATGGACACTTATTTTATAGCAGGTACTGTGCTGAACCTCGTAGCATTTGTTTCTCGTGGTGTCCCATGAGGTAGAGGGTGTTCTTTTCATCTGCTTGAAGAGGGAAATCATACCTACAGTCTACTAGAGGAACTGTGAGCTAAGATTAGATTTGTGTGGTTTCATTCATGGATGCAATGAGGATCTATTGAGTATGTTCTGTGTTCTAGTCTCTGTGCTTGTCTCTGACGATAAAGTGTTAATGAAATGGACAGGCTCCTGTCACCTTGAAAGAAATGACAGACAAGAAATAAATGATTAATCTTGTATTTATTTTACTTCTGATAAAGTATGCAAAGTAAAAGTTAAGGAGACTTTGTGGATTCTAACCAAGGTTGGAAATGAGTCAGACTTTTCCAGAACATAGATTTATATTTAAAAATGGCCAATGAGGCAGAGACTAAGGAAAAACAATATAGAGCATCTTAAGATTTAAAGTGTTAGCCCACATGGAATGGGAAGCCACTGATGAGTTCTAAGTGATACAGTGTCACAAGCAGATTTAGTATTAGTAAATGACCACCCTTGGAAATGAATTGGAAGATAGTCAGGGAAGGAATAGGAAGGACAGTAAGTGTGTCACTACAATGTGTAGGGGACAGTGATAATGCATTGGAGTAGAATGGTCAGAATGGATTCTTGAAACGATATTAAAGATATGGAAAAGGAATGACTGATGACTAATTAGATATGAAGGTAAAGCAGAGGAGATGCTAAAGAGTATTTTCAGGTTCCTGCCACAGTTATAGTCATTGAAGCTCTTTGTACAAGAAGCAAGATTCTGTGATTTTTTTTAATTTAAGATTTAGAGTTTTTACAAAATGAACATATTTAAAGATTCTATTTAGATCATGAGAAAAAAAGATGTTAAAATTACCTCAAAAAGTAGACCAAAGAACAGACCTGAAGATAAAAGAAGGAGTATTGAGATGAGTGTATAAAGGGAGGTAAGTCTGTTTTCAGTGGATGTCAGAAGGTAGGACTGGGAATGTGGGTCAGTGGAAGAGCGCTTGGTTAGCAAGTGCATGGCCTTCAGTTCAGTTTTCATTACCATAGAAAAAAGAAAAAGAAATGGAAGAAACACAAAAGGGGCTAGGAATGTATCATAGCTCAGTAGGTAGAGCGTTTACTTAGCATACATGAAGCCCTGAGTTCAGTCCCCAGAACCACACAAACCAAGTGTGGTGGTGTACACTTTACTACAGGAAAATAAGAAGTCTAAGATTCCTTGTTTCCAGTCTGCTATATATGAGAGATACTCTGTCTCAAAAAGGGGTGGAAGTCTTGAATGTGGCCTAGTCGCTAGAATGATTGGCTAATTTGCCTGAAGCTCTCTGGGTTTAATCCCTTACACTAGCATAGAATAAACCAGGTATGGTGACACATGCCTATAATTCAGCATTTGGGAGGTGGAGGCACAAGTATCAGAAATTCAAGGCCGTCCATGTCTATATAAGAGTTTGATACCAGACTGGGGCATCAGACCTCATAATACCTTAAAGCTACTCTGCAAAGGATTGGAGGTATGAGGACTGTAAGGACATTTTAATCTGGTTTCCAGGAAGCAGTTTCTATGGGCAGTGACCATGGTTGGATCCTAACAGTTTCATAACATTGCCAGTAGACACCAAATTTTATAGCTGGCTAAGATGGTAAATTTTATGTTATGTAAACTTTATCTTAATAGAAAATAGAACAAAACCAGAAAAGTGTCAGTCATTGTTGTTAACAATGGACAATAACTTATCAACTGTAAAGGAATAGGGGGAAAAAAACCAGCACACTAAATTAGAAATGAAGAAAACACAATAGTAAAAACGGAATCAAAAAGAACTTTACACAAGGGCTGGAGAGATGACGTAACTGTTAAGAGCACTGTCTCTACACAGTGCTCAATTCTACAGTTGTTAGGAATTTTCCTAATGCAAGCTCTGTGCCTAGCAAAAATCCCAATCAAGCCAAATGACATAGAGCCGAATTAAAGGCTATCCAGGTTTAATGGGATTTCTGCATTCTCAGGTAGGGGTTTGGGGGTGGGGGAAGTGGGGGGTTGGGGGAGGGGTGGGGGAGGGGTGGGGGGAGGGGTAACCGGTGGAGGGATGGGGAGAAAAGGCCTCACTTTCCCAGGAGCAGTTTAAATAGACTTGGGGAGTGGTCAAGGTTTTGGTGGGCTGTCTTGGCTCTCCTTGGGGGAGGGGTCAAGGTTTTGGCAGGCACAGGGGTGGGGCTGTCTTGCCCCTCCTTGAGGAAGGGGTCAAGGTTTTGGCAGGTTGCCTTGCCCCACCTCAGGGGAGGATTCAGGTTTGGTGGGCACAGGGGCGTGGCTGTCCTGCCACTCCTTGGGGTCAGGTTTGGTGAGGGTGGGGGGCCTACAAAGATGGAGGCCCAGACCAGTACTTACACTAGTGACTTCCATATGGTGGAGAGAACCAACTCCTCAAGTTGTTCCCCGACTCCCAAATGCTTGCCAGAACATGATGCTCCCCAATAAATAAATATTAAAAATTTGAAAAATCCATTAATTGGTACGATGACTATATGGTAAAAATAAATTTTAAGTGTTTTGTTGATGTATAGGAGTCACATGAACTGATGAAAAGGGTAGGCATGGGAGTACATTTCTGTCATTGAACTGGAAATAGCTGTAAAGTGTCTCAGATAAAGTAAATCAGTTAAGTATATTTGTGGATGTGCTCCAAAACGGGAGTGGGGGGGTAAGATGATCTAAAATTGTAAAATCAAAATCCTCAAGGAGATATGAACACCTGTTAAATACTTAACGTGTAAATATCTGGCAGATATTAAATGAAATGGCAAATGTGATGAGCAGTTCAAATAAGAGTAAAAACTACGAACAGGAATACTGATTGGGAACACTAAGGTGACTGTATCAATTGAGAGAAAGCTAGAGTCTGATACGTAACAGAGTTTCATCCTTTGGGCAGGAGTTTTCCATTGACGCAGAGGTCTTGTCAGAATATAAAAATCAATAGAAAGGGTTCCCATCAAAAGAGGATGTAATCAGGTGGCTTGCCTGTAATTCCAGCTGTGAAAGGCTAAGGCAGGATCTCTCAAGTAAGGTGACTAGTAAGTAAGATTCTCTGTATTGGTGAGCTCTGACTTGAATTGAGAGATCTTGTCTCAGTAAATAAGACAGAAAAGTGATCAAGGATGATTCCAGATAACAAATTCAGGGCGCACACACACGCACACACACTTACACAAACACACATGCACCCACACACAGGCTACATGTGCATATGTATATGTATAACACACACATGAAAAGGTGGGCAGTTTCTTTCCTAATATGGGCATTTCTGTGCTGACCATCAGAGCTCAGTGGATACCAGTGACATCATAAAGTCTGTGTGGTAACAGAAACCTGTCCTGAAGAGATAAATACATGTGTAGTTCAGAGGGTTGGTTATTGTGGGAGGCCCAGGCCAGAAGAGCCGTGGAGTTCAGCCAGTCTCTTCAAACGAGCACCAAGGCTAGAAAAAGATCCAGAGGAAACATCTCCTGCAAAGGCAACACCTCCTGCAGAAACAAAATCTCCAGCAGACGTAACATCTCCCGCTTCACCAGAGCAGAGCTTCAATTTCCTGTTAGCCGGGTAGACCACTGCCTGCGAGAGGGCAAGTATTCCCGCCGCCTGAGCTCTTCTGCACCAGTATTCCTGGCCGGTGTGCTCGAGTACATTGCATCGAACATCCTGGATCTGGCTGGCGAGGAGGCCCACACCCACGGCAGGAAGCGCATCACCCCAGAACACGTGTATCAAGTGGTAGAGAACAACGAGCAGCTCCACGAACTCTTCGGAGACCCCAGATCTGTGGATGAAGAGATGTCAGAACTCAGTGAGAACTAATGGTGCCTAGGTCTCAGAGGTTGGAGGGTCTACCACCCCTTCAACTTCAAGCAGTCACAATGTTGTTCTAGCTGGGGGACTAATCAAACATGCTATTAAAGCATCTAAACTGAAGTCGCTGTTTCTGACTCTTTTTTGTTT